TAATAAAGATTTTTTGAATGAAAAAAGAATCAAAGTAAAAAAAATTTACAATGCAAAACCAAATTATATTAATATATTAAAGAACAAACTAGTATAACAATTATAAATCTAAAGTTCAAATATTTTTAGAATGATAGTAATAATGAAATAAATATAACAGTTTATTTTTTAACATTTTGAATATTTTTTGAGCAATTTAAATAAATTACCATCTATTATAACCTTTGATCATTGAATTAGTCTTATAAACACTTTTTATAGTACTAAATAAAGCACTTTTTTTGAAATTATTAACTTATTGATTCAAAATAAAAATCAAAAACAAATGCTTGTATGTAAAAAAATTAATTTTGACTATAAATATAACTAAAAGAAAATGATAAACAATAAAATTTTATAAAAAACTTAGAGCTATATTTATTGCTTGATAATGATTAGTGCACAAAACCTACTATAAAATATTGAAGATTCTGATTAATTAAAAAAATTCCAGCATAATTTTTTGATCATTCAAAATTTTTTATTACTTATGCAATTTTTAAATTTGTAAATTTAATATAATAGACTATTAACTATTAATAAAAGAAGTATAGTGACTTAGTAAAGTAGATAAGTTGTTAACCTTCCAAGTAATAGATAGTGAGTTCAAAACCTACTGACAGCAAAAATTTGAATAATCTTCTATGTAATATATAGATGCTATTATAGTAAAGGTATTCTGTTGATCAGTTAGAATAAGATATCTGTAACATGGTCATATTAGTATAACTGGCAGGTTATGGGAAATTTGCACAATGTTGGAGTTAAACAGAGAAATGCAAACTGGCATTGGGTGTTGCAAACCTAAGATAAGTCCTCATAGTTATATAAACCTGTAAACTGGGAAGCTGAAGCCTACTTGAAAGACCCAAGTAGAGAGGTAGCACAGATCTTCAACAGTACTACTGTAAAGGTTAGACCTAGGAAATGAATACTAATATAGAAAGAATCGAGCAGGCAAGACCTTTGAGTGAAGGATATTACCAACCAGACTACTAGAAGTCCTGAACCAAAGGAAAAGAACCTTGAGGTGCAGACCCTGAGGTACTAGAGACAGTATAGTCCTACCAAGCTATCTGAATTGTAAGTCTAAGGTCAGAAACAGAGGTATACTATAAGTACTAGAGATATGCTGTAAAGTCAGTACTAGGGTTTGGGTGAACTCTGCAAGGGCAAGCCCTGTTAATAAGAACTAAATGTAGATAGTTAATTAGCAAGTAGACATTTTTCAGTCTTACAATCAGGTGACATACTCTGAAATGTGTAACTGCTTGATAGACATACAGAAAGAGAGGTTAAGATTAGATTAGATGGCATTTAATATAAGTGTACAGAAACTTGTGCACTATCTGTCAGTGTAGTATAGGGATCAGAGTGTTTAAATTAGATAATCTTTTAGAAGATTGCAGATATGGCAGCTAGTGTAGAATCTATATATGGGCAGACTACTTAAATTAGACAACCAAAAATTGTATGCATGGCTAGTAGTACACTCACCTTGTACAAGTTATGTAACCATAATTAAAAATAGAATAAAGGCAATAGCTGCTAATAATCATGTCTTTAGCAAAAGCAAAAAAAAAAAAAAAAAAAAACCTAATAAAATATTATGCAAATAATGTGTAATTTGAATATTAATATATAAATATTTATATATTTATGAATTTAAATAAAATTTTTTTTCAAATTAATAGATCAAAGTGAAAGTATTCAAAATGATCAAAGTATTTATAACAACTATAAAAGTAAAATTTTTTACGAAATAGATTAAAATAAATGTATCCAAAATAATTAAAGTATTTGTAATAACTGTGAAAGCAATTATAAAAATAATGCAAATGATCAAAGTGATCAAGAACTAGCATTATCTAATAATAAAAAAAAGTCAAAGATTATAACAAAGTCTAAGTCTAGTTTTAAAAGTTCTTGGCTTAATGAGCTTAAATAACTTCAATATGATAAGATTTCTTAGCAAATGTTTTGTAAATATTGTAAACAGTACAAAAAACAAAATGTTTTTAGAAATACAGATAAACAAATATAAAAATATTTATTATTAAATTTATACTATATAATATTTAATAGATCAAATTTTTTTGTAAGATTAATAAATTTTGGTCATAAAAGTTCTATTAAAGAACATGCTTTATCAGATCAACATATTGATGTAATAAAACTTGATAATGCTAACAAAATAATAAATAAACAATTAGGACAACTTATATAACAATGTACAAATCATATAATTGGAGTTATAAAAATTGTATAAAACAAGATAAACTACTAGCTAAGCTTTCATATTTTGTTCAAATGTTTTATAAATTGGAATCACCATTACCAGGAATGGAGTATGAAGTATGTAGTATATAGTTTAGAGGCAACTCAGATATGCATGTACAATTCTAGACACTTGATTGGTCATCATAACTCTAATCATCACATATTGATACACCTTATACCAGTAGCATCTGTATTTGTACATTGTATACATGCCCAAAAATAAATATTTTTTTATACATTTCACAATACCTTTTTGTGAAAGCTTAGGTATATTATCTCATCTTTTGACCAGACCAAGTGCTTTAAGTAAACTTGAACTTTCATGCTGCTCTATAACATATTCACTTAATTTATTTTAATTCACCAGCTTTTATATTTAGTTTATTTAATAAAGGTAGTATACAAAAAGGTATATTTGTAAGTTATATTGGTGAAACCTTATGCTTAAGCAACAAAAAAAACAAGGTAAAACAAAGATATAAAGGTAATGATCTAGCAGAAATAATAAAACAAAGTGTTATTTTATTGTTTATTGAATAACTCTTTAAAGAGTTTGATAAGATCTATATGTACTACAGATTAACTAACTTTTTTATAATATTTTTGTAGTTATTTAAATAAATGATAAAGCATTTATACTCAATATGATATATATACTAGAACATAGAATAATTTTTTTTAATATAATAATAGTAGTATAGCATGTTTATCTATATTAGATTATATATTAAATATAGAGTGAATATAGAAGCAACTATAAGATCAAATATAAAAATAAATATATATTATTGTGATTTTTTTTAAGATGTTAGATAAAGGTTAGTAAATTAGACAATACATGATCTGAGCTAATAAAAACTTTTTACTTACTCTATGATATTATTTAATAAGATTAATTTAAATTTTGAATATAAATTTTTTAATTCAATTTTACTTAATTTTTATATTTTTTTGCAATTTTAATAGTAAAAGGATGATTTTTTTAGTATGAATACTGGTGGCCCAAAGTGAATTATCACATATGGTCATTAGATTTTGAGGATTTTCTGTTTTTTTTTTGATATTTTTTATTGAGTTGATGAAATGGTAATTACAAATCATCAAAGGTTTGATATATAAGTCACATTATAGTTAAGGACTGTCTAATTTAAACTGGCACTTATTGACTATAATTTTCATAATATACCTTGTTGAGTTAATTACTATATATAAAATATCATTTACTAATGCTAATCATAATTTGATCTATGAATATTAAGATATGTGCTGATCATTTGAGAAAATAATTATTTTGTTCTAACCAAATATATATGTATATCTCATATTGAATTTCTAGTTATGATGAAGTGCATGCTATGCTGAATTTCTAGTTGTAAAGCAAATGCACACTATGCCAAATATGAGTAATTCAAAAAATTTAGCCAAAATAATTATTAATAAATTAGATGTATTGTGAACTTTGCAAATTATTTATTATTTATATTAATATTTAAATATTGTATATACTTTAATCATATTTTTGCTTATTATTACTAGAAACAGCACTTTTTATCAACTAAAGATAAGTTAACTCTAACTATCAATCTACTATAATTACATACCTTAAGTCTATAATATATTTATCTTATAAAAAAAACAATCTCTCTAAAATCTTCGTATTGCTATTATAATTATATACAAAAATTTAGTTATATTAAATTATATTTTATATTCTTTTGATATTTTAATTTACAAGAAAGAAAAATCCAACTTATTTATTCAAAACTTTTTGTTACTTAAATAACTTCTCAACAACCATTTTCTATTTATAAATATATTTTTCTTAATTTATTATTAGTTTCGACATTAATCTTGCTAATGTTAAAAATAAATCCTAATTATTAATTCTAATCAAATAATTCCAATTATTGAATCATATGCATGTCTGAACCATGATTACTAAAAAGATCTTTTCGTATCATCTAGTAAAAGTCAGAATCAGTTAATAAAATTTGAGTATGAATTTGAATTAACATTAATCTGATTTAATATTAAATTGATTTACAATGTCTTAATCCAGTTGTAAAATTAAAACAAACAGAGTTTTAAAACTTAAACCAGATTATTCCTAGCATGTTATGAAGTATAATATTAATTTATTTTAAGATTTCAAGTAAACAAGATAAATAATTTTTGCCAATTTATGCAACCTGGTTTAAATCTACTCTACTTGACTTAACTTACAACTAGTTTTATATTATATGCAAATAGAGTTATCTTACGTTACTTGTAATTTTATGTAAGTCAAATTTTAAATAAGTTTAGTCACATGATATAAAATATTGAGATTACATAAATTAGTTTAGTTTTATTCATTAGATTTATTTGAATATTTAAGAAATCCAATTATTAAATCTTACAAAAAATTACACAAAACTACATAACATTACAGTAATTTCACAACCCTATATGCAAATCTGATTCAACTCTTAAATCTACAAACACTTCTAATTTATAATACTATATTTATTATTCATCTGTTTCTGGTTTCATATAACAATGTTGCACAGCTACTTATTATTATAAATAGTTCAATTACTTATAAAAATGAAGTATCTGGTCATAAATTTGTATTTGCTATATCAAATATAATTAAGACTAAAATATAAAAAGAAATTTGTAAATCTGTATCTTTTGGAATTATGATTGATGAGAGTATAGATATTTCAACAAACAAACATATTGATATTTATATAATGTATCCAAATATTTCTGAAAATATAAAGACACATTTTTTGCAATTACTTGTACTTGAGTAAAGTAATGCAAAAACAATAACTACAAAATTAATTAGACTGTTTTAAGATTATAGTAAATATGTATTACATATATATATATACATAATATAATTTTATATTTTTTTATTAAATATATATATAATATATTTAAATTATATTGGTCATCTCATTAAGTATAATACACCAACTTGATACATTTAAATTAAAATGTAATTACACAAAATTTACATATTAACTTGCAATTAAATAAATATATTGAATATTTGAAGATATATAGAATATATTTATAAAAAAAAATTAAATTAATTTTTGATTATATATTGTTTAATAAAATCTCAAAGTTGGTCAATTTGTTAAAAAAAAATTTAAAAAATTAAATTTTTTTATATATTTTTAAATTAACTAATTATAATTGAGTATTTTTTTGTGCTACTATGCAAGTACCTTGGTGTAACCTTTATGCATAAACATGCAAAATTTTAACTATGATTATTATGTAAAAAAAATATTATAATAAAAAGAAAATTACCTATTTAAATTAGTTTACTATATAATAAATTAGTAATTTTATATAATAAAATTAATAGAAATTTTAACTAAAACTATTTTCTATTCATCACTGATTTGAACAAGATTTTTATCATTAACAAAATAACAACTAACAAAAAAAACAAAAACCCTTTATTTTTTATTAGAACTAAGGCAAAGGCTCTTGTTCTTAAGAAATATAGACTTATACTACTTAACCTTTGAAAACACAAAAGAGTTTTACTCAAAACAAAATTTTTTTTAAATAAGCAAAATATGAAATACGAGACCAGTTTTCTTTCGAACAACAACACAAACTAAAATGAACAAGTAGAGCAAGAACTAAATAGAAGTGCTATTTTGGCAACAGAACAAGAAAGTAATACTACAAAGAAAAACAGCAGCAAAGCCCAAAAGATAGAACAACTGAAAAAGATAATATTGCAAGTAGCAAACTAACAACAACAAAGATATATATACATGAAACATCATATGATGATAAACAAGAAAGTTATATGATAGATGCAGAAACATATATTAAAATACAACCTGATGTATATAGTAAAGCATATGCCAACCTATATATCGAAACACATCTAATACAAACATACCTCAGGGGGCAAAAAACAATGGTCCAGTCTGTTTGCAAAATTAAAAAAGAGGCAGTCTACATATTCTGCCTCATCTCTTAAAAATTCTATCAAGTCAAAAAATAATAATGCTTTGGTCTTTGATATCAGAAGCTTAAATCACTCTTTTAATAAAATTATGATTTCTTTACATGAACACATAGAACAAGATATAGTCACTGCAAAACAGCATTTTATCAAAGGTGACAGAATATATTTAAAACTAGCATTTGCTAATAACGAACATCTTAAACACTATGCCAGCAAGGGCATAATAATCTTTAATCAAGCCTATTATGGATTTATTCTCATAGATAATAGAAAATTATTTCTTTCTGTTAAGATTAGAAATATACTACTTAACAATAAAGAATGAGTTTCTAAAGCAATTTTAAAGACCTTTAAAAACTTAAAAAAATTACAGCTATCAAACCACTTCTTATTAAAGGAACTCCTTATGCAACTGACCAATAACTCATAATCTTTTAAACAACTGAAGATTTAGAACTTGAAGCAAGAATCTCATGCTATACCTTTTTATAGAACAACAATATCACAACTGAATGAAAATCAGCTCCTAAGGTCTGCTTCTTTTGTAACAAAGAAGGACATCTAAAAAAAGACTGTGAGCAATTCAAGGAGGCAGGTGAACTTAGACAACAATACAAAAAATATCAAGAGAATAAAACCAAAAGGGTAATAGTACCTTTACACAATGTTTTAGAATCTTCCAATATACAAAACAAATTGCCAAATGAGACAACTCTCTGAAAAGAAAATCCAGTTACTCAAGAATATGAAGTCATTGCAATTACTATTTCACAATTTAATAAAGAATCTTTTGCTTGGGCTAGCAACCAATCTGATTTAAAAATGAATAACAATAAACTCCCAAACCAACAAGAAGTTTTGCCAGACATGAATAAAGAGAACTTAGTTACTTTTAATCTGCAACAACAAGCTAAATGTCAATTGGCAACATATCAAACTAGCTCTTCTCTGGTCCTTGAGGAAAAAGAACCAGAATTTACTTTAGTTACCAATAAGTAAAAAAAAGTTAAAAGAAGCTTTTACAAAAAGCAAGAAGAAGACAAACCCTACTTGAAAACCAGAATTCTGAATAGAAATAAGACCTTCAAAAATATACAAATTCTCTTTTTATCTAAACAATAACTAAACCAAAATTAACAACAGCAACTCTAAATGTCAAAAGGCTCAATAACAAACAAAAACAAAGAAACACTTTAACATTATTAAAATTATATAAATTGAACATTATTCTTTTGCAAGAAACAAACCTTAGCAACAAAAATACTAAAGAATTTTTGCAACAACAATGGTCTTTCGACTCAATTTGGTCAAATAAAGCAGCAATTCTAGCAGGAAATAAAAATATTTATTTAGAGACAACAAAATTGAATAAAATAGAAGAGTTATTACAACAACTTCATCATACAGAAACTATATTCTCAAAATCACAAATGTATATATACTACCAAGTCAAACTGATAGAATTCTTTTTTTTAATCACTGAACTTCAACAATAAATCCAGAAGCAATAAATATAATTGGAGAAGACTTCAATACAAATATTTATTCAAACAGAGATCAAATCAGTGCTTCACCAGCCCAAAAAGACATTTTAAGAACTTTGCTTTTAAAAAACCTTAAGAACTTTACAGACACCTCTTCATTCTTAGAAAATATACCTTTTCTTACTTTCTTTCAAAGGACTCAAAAAAATAGAACTATGGCCTCTTACCTTGATTATATCTTTATCGATGAAGACTACTCACACTTGGCTACAAAGCTGAACACCTTATATGCAATTCAGATCACAAGTTAGTAAAATATATTTTTAACTTTCAACAAACCTTAAGTAAATTAACAATTTAAAATTTGATAAAAGAACTCTTATGAACATTTTGCTTAAGAAAAATCTAAGAGAAGAGCTACAAGAAGCAATAAACAGAATGATTGTGACTTTACTAAGATCCAACTACAATCAATTATTAGAGCTTACAAAAAGCCTAAAGCAACTGAAAACAATATCATGAAGCTTAACAAAAAAATCACAGATCTTAATAAGAGACTAGCAAACAATTCATCTAACAACAGTTTACAAGCACAAGCAGATGATTTAAATTATTAACTGCAAAAAGAACTTACTAACATGGCAGAAAAACAACAAATACACTAGAAAGCAAAATGGATTGAGCAAGAAGAAAAATCAACTAAATATTTCTTTGCCAGATACAAAATAAGAAAAACACATACAGCACTATCTGAAATAAAGATTCCTAATACATTAACACAAAATGAAGATGATAACTTGAAATACATTAAAGATCAGTATGCTGAAATCTACAGCCAAGAAGAAGTAGATTTTGAAGACATTAATGAAATTACAAAGAACATCAAAAGGTTACAGATCAACAAAACATTTCATTTACTAAAACTTTCTCAAAAGAAGAAATTATAGAAGTAATCAAGAAGCTTTCAAACAACAAATCTCCAGAAACTGTTGGTCTTATCTATGAATTCTACAAACATTTTGAAGAGGTCATTACTTCTATTCTTCAAAAGGTCTTTAATGATACATTATCTACTGGCAACATGTCCATCTTATGGACAAAATGTCTAATCACCTTAATACCCAAGAAATTTTTGGAATTAAATAATATCAACAACTAGAGACCAATTTCTTTAGTAAACAAACATGCCAAAATTTTCATGAAAATCTTGGCTAATAGGCTTAATAAAATATGCAAAGATCTTGTTTTAGACCATCAGCATAGCTTCATTAAAAGCAAAGCCATAACAGATACAGTACTAGATATTTTAACAGTTATAAGAAATCAGCAAAACAATACTAAGCAAAACTGGCTGCTTTTAATAGACCAGCAGAAGGCATTTGATTATATTAACTATAACTATTTCTCAGAAGTATTAAAGAAAATATACTTTAACTCCAAATTCATAAAGCTAATTGGAACCTTATTTACTAACCAAGAGGCACACATCACAGCTATAGTCAAAATATCTGCCCTTTTCAGAATTAATTCTTTTTCACTCCTTTTATACATTTTGGCTTTCAATTCACTATTACAAAAACTGAACAGAGAACTTACAGAAATCCAGTTAGATGATACAGCCTTTAAACTTCAACTTATGCAAATGATCTTATACTGGAATTTGGTTTTAGAACAGATTGGGACACTATCAAAAGAAACTTTATGCTATATAAAAGAGTCTCAAATGTAAAAATCAACCAAGACAAATCTAAACTAATTCTAATTACAAATGCAGCCTGAAGTCTCAAACTAGTGAGTAAAGAAAACCTTAAAACAATATTAGAACAAGAAACTATCATTATTCTGGGCTATGAAGTCTATTCTAATGGTCTTCCAAAAAAGAATCTTTGGTCATCTACAATTAATAAACTCAAAAGTTTTTCAAAAAGCTGGCAAGCAGAAATCTTTTATTTAAAGACAAATTTTTTTAGCAAACTCCTTAATTTTGTCTCAAATCTGATATACAGCATATCTACTCCTCTCAAGCAAAATACATGTTGCAAAAATCAATAGTATAATATCTTTATAAATTAAAAACAGATTCAAAATGCTTCCAAGATTTGCATTATTTCAATAAGCACACAATGCTGTATGCTAAAAGCTCCAATAATAGGAGAAATGCTCAAGATACAACTACTTTCTATATGGCTAAAGCTACTGTTAACCTGTAGTTTTTCCTTTAACTATAGTGATATCAGAAGCTGCTCAACTATAGTATGATGACTATAACTTGACAGATTCTATACAAAAGTCTACACAAGACT